ATGACAACTTTGCCAACTTGAATACTGTATACAGCCCCCTCATTTATGGAGCATTTTATGTCTTAAGGAAATGTTTTAGTTTATGCTTTCCATCTTGTTCACAATTTTAGGTGTCACTGCAAGATTTGCCCTGTGAATTTTTGTCAGAAAAGAGGCAAAGGATAAGACCACAACCTTGTGGCTTTCCAGCATTAATTGGAAAGCAGTCAGAATGTGACTCATTTATGACTGCATGATTGCTCTCAAAGAAGAGATCTAAGAGATGAGAGAAGAAAGTAAGTTGGTGAAAGGAAATTTAGCTAAAGAATGTTGATACAAGGCTTTTTGTTCAGGCTTTTGATATACGTAATCAGATGATATTAAGATTTTTTTATATACAGTACGTATTCTGTACCTGGTAATTTATCAAGAGGAAAAGTTCAAGTTCAGTGAGAGTGTGAATGGTTCTACATAAAAACAATGGAGATGTAAACCAAATAGTGTGGTAAAGATTACCTTAACTTTTTCAGCTTGATAAATAAATTTTTAATTTATGGTTGATACCCTAACTTAACTTAACTTAACTTAACTCGGCACATATGGGACTCTGGCCTTGCCGAGTTGTCCCAAATTCCGACCTGTCGAGGCACTTCCCCCCTCCTACAAATATACGAGAATAAAAAATTATTGACCCATATACCTGTATGTGTGCATGATATTACTAAATGTGAAAATATAGCAATTACCAGCACTGCGGGTGAAGAATGAAGTATCTTAGTAGGTGACAGATGCATGGTAGGTAACATAGAGGTATGGTAGGTGACACAGAGGCATGGTAAGTGATGCAAGTGGCGAGATATGCAGAGATCTCCCCAGATAATTTTATATGTATATCTTGGCATTTCCCGAGTTATACTATAATACATTCCGAGACCATATCCATGCTGATTTATATGAAATTCCAAGTTATCAAATACCGAGTTATCGAGGGTTTACTGTATCTCTCTTAAATATGCCCAATTTAAAAAAAAAAAGGACATACAGTGAACCCTCACTTTACGCGGTCAATTGAACCCACGGCGGCCTGCATAAAGTGAGAAACGCGTAAAGTGAACAACATAACATATGGGATTAATTGAAATAGAGACCGGGCCGACACCCAAACTCCACTTTTTCAGACACAATACCTACGTTGTAGTAAAAATAGCTTCTTAATTTTATGATGGTATGCACACACAATTAATAATTAAGAGAAATATCAATAATATTAGGTTTTTTAACACTTACATTAGTAGAAAAGATGGCTGGGCACACGGGGATGGGGGGTTGGTTCTGAAGCAGAGGGCAGATTATTGGCCCTCACCTGTATCACTTGTATCAATTGTATCACTATCCACCACAGAGGCTTGCAGGGCCTCTTTGTCAAACCCCTCAAAGTCCATATAAGTCCATATCCTCACTATCAATGTCACTATCACTGACTTGGGCCGGCTGTGGTGGGTGGCGGGTGAAGAACTTGGTAATGTTTTGATGACTGGGCGACCTTGTGCGCACCCTGCTCACGCCGCTCTCCGCGTAAAAGGGTACACACACCGCGGAAAGTGAGCATTCCGTGTTCGGCAGGGTACCGCGGAAAGTGAGCATTCCGTGTTCGGCAGGGTACCGCGTAAACGAGTAAAGTGGGACCGCGTAAAGCGAGGGTTGACTGTATGTTATTAATCTGTAAAGTTACCTTAAACCTTTAATTGTGTAGAGCTTAACTTTTGATGATACACCATACCTTCATCAAAGGGGTTCTGGGTCATGTGAATTACCAAAAAAGCCAAATTAACCGAGTTCAGAATATTTTTACAGTACACTAATGCATTCAAAAATTTCCAAATTTTTGTGTTTGATTATTCATTCATTTTTTATTAAGTTTTTGCATCTTTCCAGAGATTGATCCTCATTATTCCAACCAACAAATATACTCGGCTACCATGCCTTGGCTGCCACATAAAATATTTTATTTATAATTACTGTGCAAACATTAATACAGTAATAAATAAAAGTAACACATTGCAAGGTGAGCTGATAATATGTATATGATATTCTGAAAGTGTATTGGTCGCTCTGATAAATAGATTAAAAACCCACATTGGAAAAATAAAAGATGAAATATTGGAGCTGGTATATTTCGGTGCAAATACTATACTACTCACTTTACAGTAGCTTGGCCCAGAAACCAAGCCCCCTTTCTACGCTAAAAAGTATCTGATTGGTCCATAAAAAGTGTTCGTTTACCTCTGCATTTATCATACTAACATGTTCACAATTCATAATTAGACCTGTTCTTCTCAATTAATGTTAAAAATTACAAACATAAAAATGCATATGATTTTAAGGCATTAGCACTTGAAAGAGGATGCCAAAAATGTTAAAATATGTACCGTTGTTATACATATTTTAACATTTTTAACATCCTCTTTGAGCGCCTAAAAATCATTTGCGTTTTTATTTTCGTAATTTTTAACATTATTATAGAGAAGAACAGGTCTGATAATAAATAGTGAACACATTAGTATGAATAAATAGACAGCGAAATGAACATTTGATATGAACCAATCAGCTCGCTTATAGAAATGAGGGCGTGGCTTCTGGGCCAAGCTAGTGTAAAGTGAGTATAGAACCTTTTCATCCAACTAACTGAAGAAAGCAAGGAAGAAAGACATAGAACATGGCAATCAGGTCACATGACCTGTCTCCTGAGTAGAGGAAGGGTAGGGGTTATCAATAATCATCGTTATAACAGCATTCAAGATCAGATCTGGGGTCCACTGACCATATGTCAGGTTAAAGTTTGGTGGAAATGCAATAAATGAAGATTAAAAAATTTTCTACTCTGCTCTTTGTTTTTCTTATTTCATAGTTTTATATGATTTTTTCTTTATTTCTAAGCCTGATCATTTGTATAAAGTGGATTAAGTGTTTTTTTTTCCGAAATATTCCCCTAGTGGGGTCCGGTGGGTCTTACAGTATGTTGCCCCGGGTGACGTTCCAGAACGCCCGACCAGCTCGCCCAGGGTGACTTTTCAGAACGCTCGCCTTTTCCCCCCACTGTTTAAATGCCCAGCGCGGGTTATCAGGTTCCAGTGTGACTACAGTACAGTATTTGCCTGTCACGCCACACTCTTGGGCACAGGGAAGCTTCCTGAACATAATTACCTACGTACTTTTGTTTGTTTCATTTTCATTGTTTGTCCATTTTACATGTTGTATCAAAGTAATATTGCTTTAAGTATTGTTGTGTATTATTACTGGAAAATAATGCTATGATTATTTTATAAATGTATTTATTTGTGGAATTATTGTTATTTTATGCATTGCTTGCTCTACCAAACACAAAGACAGCCAGACAGCCTGGTGACCAACTGCGTGTGTATGTGTGTTGCCAATCACTTTTTATGAAAAATAATGCAAATATAATATTCTAAATGAAATATTTATAGCAAGTAAGTACAGGAGTATTATGATTAGTAATTATATGCATTACTGGCCATCTTGGACACAAAGGCAAGCTAAAAATAGCTGTTAAATGCGTAGGTGACCACGAGCGTCGGCTGTCAAAAAAACACTGTCCCCTTATCTTCCTCCCCCCTCCCTCCCTCAGTGCTGCCAGGGAATTTTTTAGAGGGTCAATATATATAGTTTTCTTACTTATTTTTTTTATTGTTTTATCATTTAAAAAGTTTACAATACTGTACTTATATTGAGCACTTATTGTACATTGGCAAGCATGCAGGAATTAGAGGAGTAATTGATGAATAATAACATGCTATGAGACTGAGGACAAATAATTTTCATGGACATGAAATGTAGACCGTGGAAGAGAATCTTGGAAAGAAGAGGTTTTAGTGGAAGATTTACATTACTGTATTTATATATACCCAGTACTGTACTGTATTTTATGATTACAAGAAATTTATTTGTTATGTATAATTTATGTTTGGCTAATAAGCAATGCTCTGTAATTTGCCACAGCATTTCCAGTTTTATTTTTGATTGCTGACTTTGAACTGAATAGTTGACCTACCTGTTCATGACATACTTAGAAATCTCACCACTGATAATGCAAGATATGGTATAAAATGAAATAAACTGAAGAAACTAGTACAAATGATATTGGTCCTAAGGCATAAGGTTGAAACACTTGTGGTAGAAATACATAGCTATCAAACTGGACTGATATAGTTTGTTGACGTTTTACGCTACCGTGAAAGGTGGCACTTGTGGATGGAGTGGCATGTTTTTAGTGAATATTAGTTGAGGGAGTATGAAGTGCTTACTACTTCTTGTCACCGTTTTAGCACAAAATATGTTAGAGGCAGCTCTGATTGTGGATACTTGGGTAAACTTGGGAGTGATTATTATCCATATGGAGAAGATATATAGGGTGAGTATAAAGTCTTTCCCTGATTATAAAAAATCATATCTCAAAGACCATTTGAGATAGAAACATGAATGTTGTAGCATTGTGTAGACGAATTCATAGATTTTTTTTCATGCATATTTTAAGCTGCAAAAAACTGTATGTTTGTACATAGCATATATTTTGTGTAAAAAATGTTTGTAATCAGGGAAAGACTTTATGCTCACCCTGTATATTCCCTTCAGCTGATACCCTTGAAGTAGCATGAGTCCATGCTTATTATTTTACTTTATATTAATTTATTTTAATATTTAAAATGTTTTGTTGTTAAGTTATGTACATTTGATCATTTGATACTTAAAGAAGTTAGACATTTGATTGACTAATGCTTACACTGAAATCTGTTTCATTATTTTTATGTATAATATGTAGTCACACCATACTGTAGTTTAGTTCAAAGTAAATTGTCTTTTATTTTCATTTACTCATTAGTTTTATTTAACTTGTCCTTTATATTTTAAAATTTTTCTTGTTGATGTTATGATTATTTTAACATATAGAACTTTTGTGATGATGTTATGATTCATCATGTTATATAAATCTTTTTCAACAGGTGATAGATTGTTAGACATAGACTCTGGACGTTACGCTGACATCCGTGATCCACCCTCCCAGCACTTCACCATCATCTTCAATACTTTTGTTATGATGACTCTCTTCAACGAAATCAATGCACGGAAAATCCATGGGCAGCGCAACGTGTTCCAGGGCTTCTTTAGTAATCCCATTTTCTACAGCATTTGGCTGAGTACACTAGCAAGTCAGGTAAGAATAATTTAAGGCAGCTTTGAAGTGTCTGCAAGCTTGATGTTACAGGCATTGATAATTATTCAGCTCTTGATAATGATCATTGGTCAATCCTACTGGTCATTGATCTCCTCGAAGATTAGGGTGCTCACTGTATAAGCCCATGTATAATATTATGAGCTCTAATATTTCTTAAATCATCTCTCTCCATCTCTCCATCATTTGAATAAATAAACTGAACACTTTTCATGTCACAGATTCATCTTTGCATACTTTAGATTACAATTTTCCAAATGTTTACTGCTTCTCCTTTGATGATCTGTTAATAAACTTATCCACAAATTGTTTTCTACCTGTTCATCAATGGTAGTAGCCAGCATGGTAAGGTGACATTGTTTGGTTATTTTATTTAGGAACTCCCAATTTAGTTAAAACTGTTCATACTAAGGAGGTAAAGATCATCTTAGGAGGCAGATTTGATAGTAATTATTGTCAAGTGTGACAGTGAAGAGAATTAATGAGACAGATGTTCTATGCCAATTCCAAGTAGGGACTTGATCGAGGAAATTATATGGAAATAAGAATCTATAGCCTACATAACGCATGCGCGCATATATATATATATATATATATATATATATATATATATATATATATATATATATATATATATATATATATATATATATATATATATATATATATATATATATATATATATATATATATATTAGATTAATGAAAATTGTATGTTTTGTTTCACATACAGATTGTGATAGTGCAGCTTGGAGGTCGGGCATTTTCCACTGAGGCACTCTCTTTGGAGCTTTGGTTATGGTGTATCCTGTTTGGGAGTGGAGTTCTCCTCTGGGGGCAAGTGGTTACATCCATGCCAACCAAAAAATTACCCAAGAATGTATTTTCGTAAGTGTCCCCTATTCTTTCACTTTATAACTGCATTTATTTCATTATGTATTTAGTAGTAACTAAACTTATTTGGACACTCAGAAAGTAGCCCATAAGTTTGTAATGGAGGAGTATAATGATAGAGATATAAAGATGGTGTGATATATGAAGGGTGAGAATGAAGTAAAAAGTTATAAAAGCAGAATATTTACCCAAATAATTTCACTAGTGCAGTCAGTGAGACAATGGGTTGTTTGCAAACAAGCAAAGTTGATGAGAAGTGGAAACTATCTTGAATAGCTAGACAGCTTCCTGGATGTATAGACAAGCTTTTTTGAGTCCATATATTACTGTACTTCACCCTATAATGGTGAGGCTTCCCTTTTAACAGATATGGTTCTATGAAGACTTGAAGATTGCAAAAAATCCTAGAATTGAAAATGCATCTAATCCTTTTACCTGCATACTTTTGTTACCATTGGCCATCATTTCTAACTTTGTTTTTAAATTCTTTCGCCCAATTTTCAGATAGGGTTCTTCAAAAAAATTTTAATTTTGCCAAATGTCTAAAAAGTATTCAAGTCAATAATACCTGTATGTGTGCACTTTGGGCACCATTCGACTTCATCCCAGAGAATTCATAAAAATACATCAACTACCGTAGTTTTCAGATATTTTTGTTCACTCTTGGGTACAGTCAGTTCTGCTATAACGCGATAGTTGTGTTCTTGTAAAACATCGTGTTATAGAAATTCGCGTAATAGAAATAACAGGGCTTATGGAGAAAATAGGGTTAGTGCAGATTACTCGAAATCGAAAAAAAATTTCATAGTTAGCCTAACACAAAGGATAGCACAGTCTAAATAAATGTTACAGTCATATCTAATAATGAAATCATACAGTAAATGTTACACTTTACCTTGAAAAAATATGAATTTAACTTGATGGGGGAGAAGGTTGATGTTGAGGAGTCATGCAGACAGGATTTCACAGTTGTCATCGTCATCATCAGTATCATCATCATCAGGTGCAGTTTTTATTTAGGTCCTCATATATTGATAAGGCTTTCTCTTTAATGGTGAGGAAGCTGGTCCCAGATCACTTTTTCGTTTGATCTTCTATCCAAACACTTAGAAACCATTCCATCTCCTCAAGTTCCTTTGGCCGTGATCTCACACTTTTGCTAGCACTCAAGGTTTTTCCAGCAATACAGCTTGCTCTAATCTTTGCTGCATTGTCTCTAATGGTGCGTAAAGTAGATTCCTTTATTTCTGTTGCACGCACAATATCACATGTTCTTTCCTTATTTTCAAAACGATTGACAACATCAAGCTTTTCTTCAAGTGTTATAGCCTTTCTTTTACGATCACCACCGGAAATGCGATCACCAGAACGCTTCCAGGAGGTATTCTTCTTTTCCATAGTCACAAAATTGGAGAAACAGTAATCAGAAATCACTGAGGACGCTTAAAAACTTCCCACGTGTTTCAGATTGATCGTGTGGTGTAAACAGAGAGCGCAGGTCTAAAACGCTACATATTTTGTTTTTCTCTCTTATTTAAAATTTTACAATTTACATATACAGTCAGTTCTGCTATAACGCGATAGTTGTGTTCTTGTAAAACATCGTGTTATAGAAATTCGCGTAATAGAAATAACAGGGCTTATGGAGAAAATAGGGTTATTGCAGATTACTACTCGAAATCGAAAAAATTTAGTAGTTAGCCTAACACAAAGGATAGCACAGTCTAAATAAATGTTACATTCATATCTAATAATGAAATCATACAGTAAATGCAACACTTTACCTTGAAAAAATATGAATATAACTTGATGGGGGAGAAGGGTGAATTTGAGGTTGATAACATCGAGCTTCTCTTCAAGGGTTATAGACTTTCTTTTACGATCATCACCGGGAATTCGATCACCAGAATGCTTCTTGGAGATATTCTTCTTTACCATATTCACAGTTAATACCACAAAATTGGAGAAATAGTAAGCAAAAATCGCGTTACAGCAAACAAGCGTTCGCGTTATACAAATATCGTTCCTCTATTCATAAATCGCGTTAGAGCCAATTCGCGTTGTCAAAACACGCGTTATAGCAGAACTCACTGTACTGTACAGGTATACTGTATACATAAATATTACATAAATTATTTCTGCAATTCTTCACAAACAAAACACACAAATCAATTGAACATGTGATGTTGAACGTGAACTGTAAACATTGCATAACCCCGCGCCAAGCCACAACAACCGTTCGAGTGGAATCGCGTTAAAGCAAACGCGTTCGCGTTTAACAAATATTGTTCCTCTATTCATCAATCGTGTTAGAGCCAATTCGCGTTGTCAAAACACGCGTTATAGCAGAACTCGCTGTACTATAAAAAAGGAGAACTACTGTTTTCTTTATAAAAAAGTATAACTATTGTTTTCTTTAGACTTAGCCCCAAACAGCAAAAAAGTACCTGCCACTTTACAGTCAGAAGACTTATCTTGTACGTCCTAGAAGTGCACCAAAGAACAGTCCTGGTACTATACGCCCTTGCGAAATATTATTCTGTGTCATTGTTGAAATGCTCTGACATCCCACCGGGCTTATTACCATTTTTTATTATTATTATTATTATTTATTAGCGTAAGTATTAAGGTAGTGTGAGGATAAATATATTGATGGTGGTGGTTTGTTGGACGATTTTTGCTGGGGTGAATATTGAGGTGTTGTGATGGTGGTGTGTCTGGGGTGAGTTTGATAGTGTGGTGGAGTGAATTGTAAAATAGTGAAAATATTGTGATTGTGTAAGTGATTAAACATTATAGCATGAAGAGTTAAAGAGAAATCATTTCACAAAAATGGGAAAATTGGAGTAGCTCACACTATTTTTTCCCTAATTTCATTCCACAAACATTTGTTTAGGAGAAGGAACCGGGAAAATTTTTATCATATATCAGCGTTTCATCCCATTATAGTCATAAGTGTTGTATGTAATGTATATGTATTGTCAATATTCACAGAAAAATAAGAAATAAGAGAGGGATAATACATCAGTAAGCATAATAAAGTAATATAACAGAATTTAAACATTGTAAACCAACTACAAGTAAAATATGGATCATACGTTGGACCTCTGGTACGGGATATAGGATCATATCGACCCCCTTGGAGCAAAAAGGTTAATGGTATGCACCTTAGGTCATAAGTCTTGCACTCTAATGTAGTGGTGTTTTGTAGAATGGACTCAAAACTGTGTGAGAATTTTTAAGAGAATGTCCATTAGTGATGTAAGGGAATGTACTGGGGGCTCAGTGAGGTGGTGGACTATGCTGGGGGCTCAGTGGGGTGGTGGACTATGCTGGGGGCTCAGTGGGGTGGTGGACTCGCTGGGGGCTCAGTGAGGTGGTGGACTATGCTGGGGGTTCAGTGAGGTGGTGGACTCGCTGGGGCTCAGTGGGGTGGTGGACTCAGGGGCTCAGTGGGGTGGTGGACTACGCTGGGGGCTCAGTGGGGTGGTGGACTATGCTGGGGCTCAGTGAGGTGGTGGACTCGCTGGGGGCTCCAGTGGGGTGGGTGGACTGGTGGTGGGGGGGCTCAGTGAGGTGGTGGACTATGCTGGGGGTTCAGCTGGGGTTCAGGTTCAGTGAGGTGGTGGACTCGCTGGGGCTCAGTGAGGTGGTGGACTATGCTGGGGTTCAGTGAGGTGGACTCTGGGGGCTCAGTGGGGTGGTGGACTCGCTGGGGGCTCAGTGGGGTGGTGGACTCGCTGGGGCTCAGTGGGGTGGTGGACTATGCTGGGGGCTCAGTGAGGTGGTGGACTACGCTGGGGGCTCAGTGGGGTGGTGGACTACGCTGGGGGCTCAGTGAGGTGGTGGACTATGCTGGGGGTGGGTGGTGGACTCTCAGTGGGGTGGTGGACTATGCTGGGGGCTCAGTGAGGTGTGGACTACGCCGGGGCTCAGTGGGGTGGTGGACTCGCTGGGGGCTCAGTGAGGTGGTGGACTATGCAGCTCTCAGTGGTGGTGGACTCAGTGAGGTGGTGGACTCGCTGGGGGTGCTGGGGGTTCAGTGGGTGGTGGACTCTGGGGTCAGTGGGGCTGCTGGGGGCTCCAGTGGGGTGGTGGCTGGGGCTCAGTGGGGTGGTGGTGCTGGGGCTCAGTGGGTGGTGGACTCGCTGGGGGCTCAGTCTACGCTGGGGGCTCAGTGAGGTGGTGGACTATGCTGGGGGTTCAGTGGGGTGGTGGGACTATGCTGGGGGCTCAGTGGGGTGGTGGACTATGCTGGGGGCTCAGTGAGGTGGTGGACTGGGGGCTCAGTGGGGTGGTGGGCCGGTCAGTGAGGTGGTGGACTATGCTGGGGTTCAGTGGGTGGTGGACTATGCTGGGGGCTCAGTGGGGTGGTGGACTATGCTGGGGCTTGGTGAGGTGGTGGACTATGCTGGGGGCTTGGTGAGGTGGTGGACTATGCTGGGGCTCAGTGGGGTGGTGGACTACACTGGGGGCTCAGTGGGGTGGTGGACTATGCTGGGGGCTCCAGTGAGGTGGTGGATTATGCTGGGGGCTCAGTGGGGTGGTGGACTATGCTGGGGCTCAGTGGAGTGGTGGACTATGCTGGGGGCTCCGTGGGGTGGTGGACTACGCTGGGGGCTCGGTGAGGTGGTGGACTAGCTGGGGCTCAGTGGGGTATGCTGGGGCTCAGTGAGGTGGTGGACTATGCTGGGGGCTCCAGTGGGTGGTGGACTACCCTGGGGCTCAGTGGGGTGGTGGACTATGCTGGGGGCTTGGTGAGGTGGTGGACTATGCTGGGGGCTCAGTTGGGTGGTGGACTATGCTGGGGACTCAGTGAGGTGGTGGACTCGCTGGGGGCTCGGTGGGGTGGTGGACTCGCTGGGGGCTCGGTGAGGTGGTGGACTACGCTGGGGGCTCAGTGGGGTGGTGGACTATGCTGGGGCTCAGTGAGGTGGTGGAACTATGCTGGGGACTCAGTGAGGTGGTGGACTACGCTGGGGGCTCGGTGAGGTGGTTGACTACGCTGGGGCTCGGTGAGGTGGTGGACTATGTTGGGGCTCGGTGTGGTGGTGGACTATGCTGGGGGATCAGTGAGGTGGTGGACTATGCTGAGGGCTCAGTGAGGTGGTGGACTGTGTTGGGGACTGATGGAAGTGGCGGACTGTGCTGGGGACTGAAGAAGGTGATGGACTGTGCTGGAGATTGAGGGAGGTTGGGGACTGATTAAGGTTAGGAACTGTTAAAATGTCTTCGTAAGAAATCAAATTTCGGAATCGGGTACTCAAGTATACTGGACAGTATAATAAAACCTAACTGTACTATACTGAGGATGGCCTTGAACTGGCTTACCAGTTATCAAGATTTAGAGGCAAAAGTGAGTAATTCATTTAATTAATGGTTTTAATATTTCTCAAATTATTATTATTATTTTTATTTTTATTTATTTTTATTTTTTTTTTTTTAAGGTGGGGTTCAGGTGAGCCTCAAACAGACCCCATGGCTGACTACAACCTGGAGGACAAGTTAGATTCTGATGGAAAGGATGGCAAGCGTACGGGTCAAATTTTGTGGATTCGTGGCTTGACCCGGCTGCAGACTCAGGTATGTCCCCAATTCCTGTCTAGGATTGTTTGTTTTAGTGCCAATGCCCTTTTAAAAAGTATGTTTTGAGATGGACTGTGACCTGAGGTGGTTGTATGTGTTTGTCACTAGATTGCAACTTTTAAGTCTATTTGATTGCAGTATTGGATTATCTTGCTTATTCTAAATTCAAGATAAATTTGTGCTTTTCAGTAAAACATGTTTCCTTTTTGGTTGAACTTCATGGGTGGTCAATTAAATTATTAAAAGTTTTATATGTGGTCCTTAAGATCAATATTTTAGAAAAAAAATGTAGCCTGTGTAAATGTGTGGCAGCAGTTTTCATAAGAAGATATCATATTCCCAACATACTAAATTTAAACTTTACAATAACACAATACTTTCCTGTACTACAGTATATATATCTACAGATATGTAGGTAAATCAGATAGTAATCTTCTCTACAGATATTAGTTGAAAAAAATTAAGAAACACATCCTCTATAATTCATACCCTATTTGGATTATGAAACCTTTTCTGACGGTTGGATGTGTTGATGAACATAAGAGGGATATCAAGGAATGTACAGTACTGTCAAATAAGAAAAATACCTAAGCTGTTGTTATGAATATGATTTAAAAAGAAAAATTTCTATTGTTCAAATTATGATCATACCACAAAAAAAAACAATATCTTCAGACTCCTACAAGCAGAAGGCATTATTTTTTTTTAATGGGGTTCATCAGACTACAGTATTGAGATTTCTTTCAAAATTTCATTATGATCAGCTGAAAAATATAGAAAGATGCTTAAAAGAATAATTAAAGTTTATTGTTCTATCCTTAATTAATGTTCACAAGAAGATGAGTCTTGACACCGGTCAAAATAACATGGAACAGGAGCATAATCTTATGTGAATTGTAAGGAAAAAATAATGATGAAGGTTTTATGAGATTGAGAAAATAGTGTCTTTTGCAGAAATAAGTACAGTACTGTACTGTATAGTACTTGGCATTGGAAATATATACCCGGTATTCCAAGAAAATAGTTTAGAATAAATTATCCTTAAAATTGAGAGGGTGTTTAAATTGTTTGTACTAAGATTGAATTGCACTTGGAACTGAAGGAACATTAAAGCTTAGATGGAAAGACATTTGCATTATGGATTAATATTAGGAGTATGAATGTACAGTGAACCCTCACTTTACACGGTCAATTGAATCCACGGCGGCCCGCGTAAAGTGAGAAACGCGTAAAGTGAACAACATAACATATGGGATTAATTGAAATAGAGACCGGGCCGACACCCAAACTCCACTTTTTCAGACATAATACCTACGTTGTAGTAAAAATAACTTCTTAATTTTATGATGGTATGCACACACAATTAATAATTAAGAGAAATATCAATAATATTAGGGTTTTTAACACTTACATTAGTAGAAAAGATGGCTGGGCACACGGGGATGGGGGGTTGGTTCCGAGGCACAGGGCAGATTATTGGCCATCACCTGTATCACTTGTATCAATTGTATCACTATCCACCACAGAGGCTTGCAGGGCCTCTTTGTCAAACCCCTCAAAGTCCATGTAAGTCCATATCCTCACTATCATTATCACTGACTTGGGCCGGCTGTGGTGGGTGGCGGGTGAAGAACTCGGTAATGTTTTGATGACTGGGCGACCTTGTGCGCACTCTGCTCGCGCCGCTCTCCGCGTAAAAGGGTACACACACCGCGGAAAGTGAGCATTCCGGTTTCGGCAGGGTACCGCGTAAATGTGGAAACGCGTAAAGTGAAACCGCGTAAAGCGGGGGTTTACTGTATAGGCTTCTGGGCATGTTTGCTGATAGAGCTGTTAATGATATGTTGATTATGAACAAATCTGAATGAAATTCAGACAGTAGGAAGATTGTTAGAAGATAAGTTTGAGTGGGGTGAGTATATTGTGTTTGCTTTGTTCTTTTAGGGTAGAATTAATGCTCTCTTGGAAGTAATAAATTAGGTTATCTTCTCAGTTTCATATCAGCAACACTAGCCAAGTCTTTTCTAGCTGTTTACTAACAAAATTATGATGTTAAATTCTTAAGGGTTAAAATAAGACTAAAGATGACTAAAAGTACTTAATAATGCTTCTCAGTAATTGAAAAAAAAATTATTCTTAAAAGAAAATGAAAGAATTTTTTAAAAAATTTGCTGCTGTCATATATTTTTAAACTCAAAAGAATACACAAGTGTGTAACCTTTTGCTAAGACTAGTTAAATTGTAAATAAAATTTTGATCACTTAATATTGTAAATGCATAGGTAGTAGACACTGATAATTGTAGTAGATAAAGTAATTAAAATATCCCCAAAATGCAAGTACTGTACTGTATTTGTAGAACTAATTTATTGCATTTATCATAATGAAAGATGTGCCAGCAAAGGCAGCACGTACAACTGCTAGTGTTAATTATAATATAGAGCCTCAGGTCACAGTAGCTGGCAAACACACACCACACATAACCAGTCTTTACATTGAGAGGCTATTTCAAGAACTCCCTTTTTGGTATCTTTGTGGTATAAAAGGACAAATTTGATCTAGTTGTAAAAATTTTGTTTAGATTTCACCGAAGTACAAGGTACGCAATGAAGGTACACAAAATGTGAATGGCTGAATTCTTTAATTTTTTATTATTTTTTATTCAACATGAATATTTGTACCAACTTTTGATTTGACTAATTACATAGAAGCAACAGCTGTAACAAAGTCCTTCATATCAGTAGAGTAAACTATATACTGTACAGTAGTACCGGTAATTGAATATTGTATATTCTGAATACAGTACTAATTTAGAATATTTTTAATATAAAATAATATTAACTGCTAATGTCATATAATATCCTGTTAAATATGTTCAAGATATTTCATTCTGGTTGTTTAATTAATCAGAACTGATAAAGAAAGGAGCTTTATTGGAATGACAAATATGAATAGAATATTTATTTACTCATTTAAACATTTTAAGCTAATGGCTATTAATTAAAACTAATGTGTGGTTTATGTTTGGCCTCTGCTATATGTCTGTCACAGATGGTAGGCCTTGATAATTCAATACACACCATCCACTGCTAGTTATGTAGTCAAGATTGAGATTCTTTGCATCTTTTTTCAGACCAACTAATGTAATGATTATATTTATTAACTTATTCAGATACCTCCTGTTGCACCTCACAAAATATTAGTTCTCAGTGGTTAATCTTCCTTTTTTATTCTAATCTTAATTTTTACTTTAACAAGCTCTTCTTTTGTCCTTGGTTCATGTGAGTTAGCATTATAACATAGAGATCAGGACCCTTCTTAGATGTACTATACGTACTGTATATTATTTCAGAGTTATATATATATATATATATATATATATATATATATATATATATATATATATATATATATATATATATATATATATATATATATATATATATATATATATATATATATATATATATATATATATATATATATATATATATATATATATATATATATATATATATATATATATATATATATATATATATATATATATATATATATATATATATATATATATATATATATATATATATATATATATATATATATTATTTTTTAGGTTAATGACAAAGTAAAGTGAATGGTGCAGCAGAAGTTCTATTTTTGTAACAGTAATGCTGTTACTAGAGCTCTACTTTGTGTTATAATTTTGTAATTCTTCTTAGTATCAGTGATAATGGTGTTTAATTTTGAATATCAAGTGATATGTATATCTAACTTTTAACAGTAATGCTCTTTGCCCTCGTGGAATGCATTTTTTGAAGCCCTTCAACTAACAGTTCTACCAAGCGTGGTAAATCCAGCAGCGTGAATAAGTTACAGTGACTGTAGCTTTTGATTTTCTGTCCTTCCTGGCAGTGTTTCTCCTAACAGGGTCTGGTGTGTGGGCGATCCTGTGCTAAGAGTGTCAAGTTTTGGTTTTGTAGGATGCCTCTTTGTTTTGATGCAGATGTAGTGTGCCAATCAAGATGAAATCTTTGATGCTGATGGAATGTCTATACTTTTGAGTTTTCAGAGGAATGGAGGCATTGTGGTGATTCCCCTGATGCAGATTTTGCCATTCTAACTAAGTGAGGACTTTGCATGAGTACCGGAAGGCAACATTCTACTAAAATTATTGGAAACTTGAAATGTTTGATTGCATTTGATCTTTGCAGAAGTTTTCCTTAATTGAATGAGCTCTCTCCAAATAACTTTGTCACGGAGGGTGCAATGAATTTGCTTTCATCCCTTTGGATATCTTCAATCCAACTTTACATTCACAAAAATATGTGGTACCCATGTAAATATATACAAATTTCAAACTCCTCTAAGGTGAATTATTAACATATACCTGAGTGACATACTTTACTTCAATTGGTTTAAAAAAAGCTGTTTCTATTATCCAGTGAAACCATAGTACACTAGTCAGATCTAACTCACTTATGAGGTGCACAAGTCACAATGTTTTCAATGTTATAACGTTTTCTTGGTTAATCTGCATCAGTATTCTCCACTCTGTTTCCGAGAAAATAGGGGATGAAGGTTAACCTTTTCTTTGTGTAGTGGTGATATTTCAGTTAGAATAATTTAAAATTTATATATATTTACACACATTTATATGATGCAAAGGAGTTTAATATGTGCTGTATATATTTATACTTACCTATGCACAGACACAAAAACATGTACATCAATTTAAATATACAATCTCCACAGGTGTCCCTATGTGATAGTTCTCATGTCTTTTAACTTGCAATGCTTCTTGCGTGTTTTTTCTGATCAAGGATAGTTTGTTATCCTACCTAGGGACTCTTCATACCCTTATCAACAAGTGAATCTTGGTAATTTTTTTTTATGATAGACATGTCAATGCAAGGCCAGTGTGATGTTTTATATATATAATGAGATTTTACTCTTATGTCCACTTTCATCATGCAGCTGTGTACCATGTGTGACTTCACCAAGACAAATCTGAGACTCGAAGTGTGTGTGTCTTTCATGCACTGAGCACTGCGAACCAACCACCAGGACAACTATAGTGATAGGTTTTGTCTCAGCCAGGTAGCCAGCCAGCCAGCTGGTAACCGTAGGCAGCCAGTCAGTCAGCCAGTTAGTTAATGTCATGCCATGTCAATCATCCATCAATTTATTTACTAGCAGTGGAAATGCATTAGCTATATGGCAAAAGAAGCTTGAGTATGCATTTTATGCCATTTAATGCATTTCAATGTACTGGCATTCCTTTCATACATGCATAGAAGCTCATTACACCCATAAAAGGCGTCCCAAATACAAATTTCTCCCAGATTCCTGGTATATCACATGCTGTCTGTGCTTTAGTTCCTTCTCTCTCCCCTCTCTCTGTCTTTATTTCTTTATCTCTCTCTCTGATGCAACCTCACCATCTGCCTCCACAGCCACCTGGGGCATATGGTGCATCACAACTGCATATTGCTGGCCAACCATCACCATGATACCGAGATGTAGCCAAAAGTTGCCATTGTTTTATCTATTTGTAGAAGAGCTGAAAATATTCATTAAAGTAACATTGTTGTGGCTGTATGTAAAATAAAAATATGGTTGTTGGTAACCTTTCAAAGCAAAGGGAAAACCTTGTTGTATAACTTCTAAAGTAGCTAAATGGAGTTCAGTATGGCCATTAAAGTAGCTAAATGGAGTTCGATGTGTCCATTACACAAGTTATATAAATCTAATTTGTTTTTTCTCTTCTCTTTCTTTTCTCACTTTTGTTTTCCATCTTAAATAGCCACAAACCAAGACATATGGTCACACAGCATATCCAAATCATCTACCATGATTTTGCCTGCATAAATTTGTCAATGAATTTTTTGTAAATTTCAAATAGACATGGCTCTTTGATATTGTTTCGTGATTTGAATACACTCAGGTCATGGTTGTCCCCTCCTGTTGGTTTGTGCAATACAGGACAAAGTGTCTGACTGACTCACTCTGGTGATGGGAGGCCAGTGTGCAGTTTCTGGTATTTTCCATGACCAACCTCATCTGTGTGCTTTTCTTATGTCTCCCCCACCCCCATGAAACTTTATTAAGGGTTTCCATACTTCAAAGATGATGTGTGTAACTCTATTGCTTTCTGGTATTAGCTTTATTCCTATTGATTTGTATTTATTTAAATTCAACCTCAATTGATACTTCCTGAACATTAATCCATAATTGTCCCAGTTATGACTTTTTTCTTTCCATAAATCTTATTTCTTTTATTATTTGCACAAGTCAATCATCTTTTTTTCAGATATGGAGTGATTAATTTCTTTTAAATAAATTATTTTACTTTCTCAAATCTAATGTTGAAAATTGTCATGTTCTCCTCATTTTTCTTGTTACCATTTGTGTAGACTGCCATGCAGCTTTTTGTAGCTCCAAACTGTCTCCTCCTCTGTCTCTCCACCTCTACCTCTTGAACCTCTCAACAAGCTACACCAAACCTTATGGGACCTAGGCCAGCCAGTGCCATATAAGGCAGTTCTGTGGAGTTTGCCGCTACCCGAAAGGAAAATTGTTTGGCATTTTGGCAGCAGTGGTACCAAAGAGATATGACAATTTTATCGAAGGGTTGGGAAATTCGCGCTGACCCAGTCATCTCTGCCTCGAGCCACTAGCCTCACTCCTTGCCGTTCCTATGAGCCTATTAAAAGGATTGACAGAGGCGTGCCCGGCAGCATGATGTCGGTTCCGCGAAACTTGGCACTCCCCAGTGCATGAAGACCAGCCTAGGTTCAGACATTATTTTATTTATTTAATTTACAGGTACGAGTTTTATTTATACTAGAGTAATTCAGTTTACTTCTGCATGATTTCATTTTCTCACTGCTGGGCATGCATTAGTGCATGTCATTTAGACTTAGGTGTTTTCACTCCTGTAGCCAGAGAGAATCGGGTAGCAGCTCCGCTAACAAGCAACATCCCTGCTGCCCTTGTTTTTGGAACAACTGTGCGTGTCTGCCATGTGTTCTGTTCTCCAGGGCAAGTGCGTGCAAGTAGTGGCAGCTGGTTTCCTTCTTTTGTTGTACACTATCTTACAACGTTGCGTCTCACCACTCCACTGGCCACCTGCTGATGGCTCTTCATGCCACACTATTCCACTTTGTAGGCTCAGTTTGTATTTGCCAAAACCACTCCAATCTCTGACTGACTTTTATATAGTCAAAATCCTGCCCTTAATTGAGGAAGTACCATTGACCTTAAGGCTGACCCAGTGTTCTTACTATCTGTCTTTCACAAGCATAAGTCTTTTTTGCAATGTATCAAAGAAAGAACTAGTCAATTTTACAATAGTATTTAGGTCCCCTACTAATTTTCTACTGCACTTATAGCATCTGACTTTTGTGAAATCTTGTCTCATACTCTACCATCCCCAGCCCTCTACTAACTTTTATTTTTGATTTAACAGTAACTTTGTTTTGCTCCTCCCGTGACCGACACCCTGGGTTTTGTAACAGGTTGGTAACTGTAGTCGTGTAGTCGTACAGCTGTTGTTGTTTTACAGATGTCGTAATGCTGTTACCCCCACCTGACCCCACCTCCTATGTTCAAAATTTATCCTCAGTCACCCGACCTCTAAGTGGAATCCCTTAATTAAATCCCAGCTAATATTGTGACCTGTGCTAAGAGATGGAGTGTGTAGACTGTGGCTAGAGCAAGAGGCTAGTATGTTTGTTTCTCTGTGCTGCATAGATAATCTTTAATGATCCTGACGGGCTAGCAGCCTCAACACTGCCATGGCCCAGTGCCTAGTTTGTTGTGCCCTGGCTGCCACTGCTGTGCTCGCAGCTTGCATGTTTATAGGTCGCCCCGTGCCACCAGGCATCCGTCACACAGGGCTGCGTCACACCATCCTCACCCAGTCTCCAACAGCCTTCACCTCCTTCAGCCTCAGTCTCCTGTCATTATAACTATTATTATTAATATCATGTGGACATGACTAGTCATTCTTAGTTCTTTTTTGTTTGTTTATAGCACTATGTTACCAGTGACTTGTCTGGTGAGTTTTATTTTTTATTTTTATGTGTTGCTACTAACATGTTCATGATGAGATGTTGATGTACTGTATTACAATATTGTGGGGGTTTGATTGGATGTCCCGTCCCGTTTGCAGTTGAGAGTAATACGAGCATTCAAGTCAACCCTGGAAGACTTGGAAGAACGGCGGTCGTGCCATAGTTTACACAGCTTGCATAGTATGCGCAACTTGCGCAGTCATCAGGGCAACCGGCCCATGTCAGACATCAGTTACATTGATGAGGACTCTACGAAAAGCCCAAGTCCCAATAGTGACAAGCGGTGCGGGTCGTGCAACACAGCGGTGCGCCTCGTAACACCCATCGAGGAGTCATCGCCCACCACTGCTGAGACCGCCCCCCTGGTACCCCCTGGCAGCCCCCAAGGCGGGCCTGCAGCAGCAGCAACCCAGCAGCTGGGGCACCACCGACCCCACACCCACGCCAACACACAAAGTACTAAGTGCTGCCACCACCACCACCACCACCATCTTGCTGGCACAGCCTCCTCCCCTCCGCTCCTGCAGCCTCTCTCTCCGCACCACTTTAACACTTTGGTGGCCCAAACCCTTCACTCTAACATGGCAGCGCACTCCAGCACACTGCAGCCCTCCTCCCCACCCTCACCGCCAGATCTCCTTAACATGGTTCATGAGACCAGCATCTGACCCCCTCCCCAAGACTGATTGTGGCTCCTTCCACATCATTGTTTATTAACTCTTCTCAGATATAACCTTGGGTTACCAGTCTCTTGATTAGCAGACCAACCCACATTTCCAATTCTCATCCTGTAGAACACTCACCAGTTTTTTGACTGGAGTTTGCAAACCATCCTAGATCCTACTCTCCATCCTCCCCACCTTTGCTCATATTAAAAGACCCTACCTCATTGTCATAGACGCTCTTCGTTCTTTAACATGAGCACCCGTATAATATTTTATAGTGCATTTGTTGTGTTGTACCCTAAAAAGACCCTGAAGCCATTTACTTCCTTAAAAATCTTGCACTTTCCTAATACTGTATAGTATTTGCTTTGATTATATTTTTTGCTATTTTTTTCTTTTATTGTTTGTAGCCTTTATGCCCTTTGCTTATATTGCTACCTTGCTGTATGCCTGATTTGTTACCTAGCTGTTACCTCTTCCTAACCCTCACCCCCTTCTTCCTGACATGACCTGTCCTTGTAGGTGGGTGACCGTCAGTGTTGTGGGATAGGGGTGTTCCCATGGTGGATGGAGCGTTGGGTGTGCTGGGGGCCGGGCACTCTGTTGCCTGTTGCTACTCCCTCTTGCCTTGAGCCTTTTGAGGCTGAGTGTTGTTATCTTGCCCTGCCCTGCTTGCCACCTCCCGCTGATTGCAACAGCATCTGAGGGTTGTGGTGGTGGGCGGTCTGCAGGCCAGCCTGGCTCCCCGGCGGGACCTTTGCTACAACAGACTGAGACAATATCTCACGTGCACTTCACTAACAACTCCCGCCTCAGCTGTTACTAATCTAGCGTATGCCAGGGTAACTAACACACATCTTGTGTACTACTCATTTCTAAAACGCAGCTAGAGGAGACGTGGTTTTGCACTGCATGTTGTGTTTTGTGTTGTGCATTTATTTTATAATCTGTGCAATTTGTCATGTGGTTATGGAGAGTGCCAAATAGTGAAATGTTTCCCCAGCTTTGGAAGAATAAATTAAAATTTCTAAATCATAAATTGTGAGGAAGGTACTTTAAATGAAACCAAAACTTGAAAACCATAAAGGAAGCTTGCCCTGGTGGTAATTGAGACCATTGCCTTGAATTTTCCCTATCTGTATGACTGAGTTCCTCTTCCCTGCCTGTCCAGTCCCTGATATCCTCATACCTTAGTGTCATTCTTTTATTTGTTATTTAATTTCATTTATATATTTTTTAATTATTTTACTTAATTTTGTTTCTTTGGGTTGGGGTCGTTGTTCACACAGATTTTAGATAATACTGGCTCCCGGACTCCACCCCTCTTACTACAGGGGTGGACCGGAGGCTCAGTAGGGGGCCAAAATTCTCCCCCATTGGGAATTGATCTTCCATTTACTGAGGTAGGACCCAAGGCCTCACCCCCAGTTTTGCAACAAGCATGTTGCAGACATCATGGCTGATGGAGGCCAATAATATTGGCCTGGTTCCTCCTCATCCAGAGAGATGTCTTGTGTCTGCGGCTTATCGTGAAGCTGTCAACGCAGGGCTCACATTTTACTTTCCAGCCTCCAGGGGACCCTTAATATAGGCTTTGACTTAAGCTGACCTTCGTTATCTTTTAGATGAACATGGTGTTGAGCGTATCATTCTGTTATTTTCCCTGGTAGGAGGATCAGGAAGGAGAAACACATGGGGGTGAGGTATGAACCAGAGCATCTGTTTCTGTCAGCCCCTTGTACCTGAGCTATTCTCAGTGAGTAAGCCACTGTGCTAGACACCTCACCCGCAGCATTAGCCCAAATCTACGGTCCTCAACATTTAGTGGCTATTAGAGCAGGCCTATTTACAGTATTCACCTGCATAATCAGTTCTCGCTAGTGTACCCACAGTAGTGATTCTTGCAGCGGTAGTTGTCCATTGGGTTTCCATCATTATTATTTTTAGTCGAGTTGTGCTCTCTGTGCATGAAGATGTGTTTCTTCTTCAACGGTCCCGGAGCCACACAGATCGTGAGTTGGTGTCCTGAGTGTAAGCGTATTAATCCCCGCGTGCCCCTGTAATGTCTAGGCGAGTCCCGGGTAGGTGTGGACACCCCGTGTGTTGTCTGTAGCCTCTACTCTACTACTGCTGCTCCACTATCCCCTGCACACCACACAGTGTACATACACCACTCGGTTGATAATGCCGTGTGCCGCCTTAGACAAGGTGTGTAGAACACAAGGGCGTATACTATGGGAGAGTTGAAAGCAGCCACCACTTACCAGGCTGTTGGTGCCCATGGTGTGAAGGACAGAGATATGTCCTTGTCTTCTATACACCTTGCTGTATAATTCATCCCTGGCCAGCTCTAACTTACCACTGTAGCCACTCGCCCTCACCACTATTATTATTCTCATGGTTCAGGTCATTGGAGGCACGTTGCAGGAGCGGCTGATACCCGTACCGTATAGCAAGACCTCCACAGACCAGGCTGTAAGCTACACCTCTCTCTCTTGTCTCTTCTTAGACTCATAATTTGGACTAATGTGATCGCTAGCTCACTTCCCCTCAATACTCTGCCCTTGGTCTGTGCTGTTTGCTTCTTTATTTTCGTGGAAGCTGTAGGCTGGTTGAGTCAGTGTTCTATAACCAAAAAGGTAAATCAATGTTGAATATAAACCATCCTATCATGCCTCCAAGCTGTCTCTTACACAGAACAATTTACACAGTCCCATTCCCAGCTATTAAGCTAAAGGTAACTCCTTACTAATGTTTTCTTGAATATTAAACTTGCCCCCTAAAAGACAATAAATGACCAGAGAAAGTGCATGTCTTTACTCATGTCAGTAGAAAAAATAAAAAGGAACTTGTGTAAGAGACCTCAATTATGTTGATTTCTTATAAATTAAAGATCTGTTTTTTGCTTCCATCCAACCATGTATGACTTCCTTGAACTGTTCCTGCATGACAATAGAGTGACTTGTGACCTAGACCTAGGTGATTTAGATGGCACCACTAGACTAGACTTGTCTGTTTCGCCAGTGTTGAGTGTCATTTTGTGGCAAGAATTTTTTAATGTGTCTTAATACATAAGTTGTATTGTCAGTTGTCAGGTATATATAATGAGGTGTTATTAATGGCAACCAGTACTATTTTGTGTGTCATACCTGTTTTCTTAGTACTGTTGGTGTGGATGGTGTGCATGATGGCATGCTATGTGTGTGTGTGTGTGTGCGCGAGTCATTGTTAACGCCGACAGTGTGGTCCCTGCAAATTTTGGTGTAGTCTCCCTGTCCTAAAGATCCCCCACCCTCATGTTGTGACTGGATGGACTTGTGGGTTTGGGTATGATGTAACTGCCTACACCCATGCTGTTTGAGTGTTTGTGTGAGCTAACATTTTGGTGCACGCACCACTGATGGCACATGCCTCGGACTGGCTTCCTGCCGCCAACTTTGCTGGGCTGCAGATATTCATGATCTTCTTCCAGTTTTAAATATAACTACTGTTGCTGCTGTTGTCTGGAAATTCTACCAACAACAAGAGCAGCAGTAGTGATGGACAGCATTGAAGCGGTAGTGGGTCTGTATCCGGGAGCGTGCATGTCCGCATGAGCCGCGCACTATGGAGAGCCTCCAGCCAACATGCAGTGCCCACGTTCTCTGGCTGCCAAATCTTTGTCTTGATGTCTGAAGTGTGTGTCCACCGGCGTAAGAGCCACAGAGCTCCGTCACTCGTGTAGATCCTATGGCAGCCAGCAACACTCTCAAGTATTTGTATAAGTGCACGATCTATTTATTGTTAATTTTTACTTTAATATCTTAATCGACTTTGTGAATGGTTTTAACCTCTGTTTTCTAACTTTTTTACATACTAACCATCATAACTCTCTTCTTTGTATTGGCACCTAACAGGCTGTATAAGCCAGCTAATGAAGATGCAGTACACGGTTCAAGTTTGGCATGGGATCTTTGCAATGAGCATGACTTTCTGCTTGTGTGTGCGAGCGGCGGGTGAGCTTCTTCGCCCCCGCCGCTCACTGCTGACGCTGTAACGCTCCGTGGTTGGCAGCAAGGCACACTCCTCACCCTCTCACTTGTCAGCAGCTCTCACAGTAACCCTCACAGTCAAGTTAAGCCCTCGTCTTAAAGAACACTTTGCCAATTATGTCTCATGTTTCAGTGAAAAGTCAAAATTTTTACTTGTTTTTTATTCCCATGGCTCATTCCTTTTGAGTGTTCAAGTGCCTTGGACCAATGTAGCTAGTGTTTATCCTTGTTTGGTGTTTTGTACGTGGTTTAGTTGTGTCCAAGGCATCTGTGGCCTAACCTCGAGCCCCAACTAAAATGTTTTTTGTGGCCTCTCCCAACAGATTCGAGTAGTTAATGCGTTTCGACAGGGGCTTGATGCTCGGCCTTCCAACCCGAACCTGGCGGCAGTGCTGAAGAAGCAGTCATCTCTGAGCAAGCGGCTGTCTCATGGGTCTTCATTGGAATATGCTGACATGTGTCCAGATCCAGAAGAGCTAACGGTACCCGAGATCGACGTGGAACGCTTGTCCTCACACAGCCACACTGAGACTGCTGTGTAGGCCCCAGTTTAGGCCCCCATGCCGCTTTCTCAGGGCCAACTGCACCTCCAGCAGCAGTAGCAGCATTGGCAGCAGCAGGAGTGTGATCATCAGCAGCAGCAGCAGCAGCAGCAGCAAGAAGAGCCTTTGGCCACCACCATAGCAGCTAGTGGGTGCCGCCTGCAGTGTGGTGCCTAGGTGCTGGGCTATGTTGCAACTGACAATGACTGACTGCGATAATCAGGGTGGCTCAGACGGGTTAGGGCAGTGACAGCTCGTGTATGGGAGGATCAACAGCTGTGGGTGCTGTGCAGATCCACTAGTCATAGTGGACTGCTTGGGCTCCCACAACTATTTTGTCTTCCTGGGGGCATGCTCACATGCAGATACCCACCCTGAACACACACCCAAAAGGGCACACCCACCTGTGCTGTAACTTGTGCTCGTATGCGGTGCACAGCCACACTCACTGGTGTATGCCAAGGACTCACTTAACAGTGTGCCGCGCCCCTTGTTTCATCATGTCCTACTGTTAATAGTCTTGTGTATAGTAAGGGTTGTTATTGCATAGTCTACCAATTATAGAAATGGTAAAGGGTTTTTGCCAGAGGGTTAGATCTGTTGAACAATACTAAGGACAAATTACCATTATACCTGTAGTCAAAGGATGTTTTAAACCTCTCTAAGGAAGTTGTGGAAACTTGTATATTCATGAATGTTCTTGGTTCTTGTTTTCTAAAACCATGTTGGCTGTTCCTGATGCTAGAGTCTATACATCTCTGTTTTGTTTATGTTTGGCAGTATTGTTTTGTCCATTTGCTGTGTATGAAAGATGAGTCCTAGGTTGTATGACTGGTGGTACCTCTTAGCTTAAGTGGTATGATCATTGCGTTGCTACAAGTTGTGTGGTGGAGCCAGCCTTGTTATAAGCCCGACTTCACCCCACACAACCACCACTGATGTCTAGGGTTTAATTAGACATCTTTGCATTTAATACTAATAATCCTAACATCATGGGGGTCGTTTTTATGGAGCAATAGTTGTTTTGAAGTATATATAATAGTGATGATGCTTGTCAATAATTCAATCACTGAAGGTAATTGTCATGTTATGTAATTACAATATTACAAATAAACTGGTGCACGGTTGTTTCCAACCTTATCACCTGTTACAATGTTGGCTAGCCAATGGAACCAATCCTTATTGTTGTGCCCATGTGAGGAGCACTCCAGAGGCCTGCAATGGAGTACAGTTGCCCTAGGAGTAAACCCTAAGAATTTGTCACATCCCTGCAGCACCAGCTTACCTGACCTTGGGCATGTCAAGGGTTCTGACTACAGTTTTGTAGTTATGACCTGCAGGGGCCCCCCCTCACCTCACCTTTTGGGATGTTTTGTCAACTGTGTTTGGCATCATCTCATACCCCACCCACCACTTGCTCTGCCTAGACCTTTCGTTATTTCCCCCATCTTAAACACCATTACCCCTCCACCATCACAACTACCCACTCCAGGTTGACTCGGTGTCTGTGTGCGTGGTCTGCCCGCTCCCATCCTGTTCTTAGGTGTGGCAAATATGCATTAGTTTTAAGTCAGTTCTCTGGGCTGTTCACCAAACCATTACACATAACAAATTGTAGTCAATAGCGAACAGTTATTTCATTCTTTTCTGTAGAGAAAGTGAAAGATTTTCTAAATACTGAAATGTTGTAAATCCAATAAATGTTAATGTAAACTGGTAGAGATAACCAAGATTAAACCTTCTGTAAATCTTCAGTCATTTTGTGATGCTCGTCTCATGTCAGCCACGACACTACTTTAACCTTTTGTTTGTCAACTAATTCTAGGACTGAGGAAGTGTAAGATCAGTGGAAGTTTGATAAGAAAAGGCCTTGTACTTCTTCTCTTTGTCCATTATCTGATGTGTGTGTGTGTGTGTGGGTTCGTGGGTTGTTTGTGCAGTGTGGAGCGGCTAGCCAAGGAACACTCTCCATATAGCAAAAGAAGAATGGGAAGAGCAACCCACTGTTTGGCCACTGTTGTGGTGCGTCTAGGGATTTATCTCCCAAACGCTAAAGCAGCTATTGAAACTCTGCCACTACCCACGCACTCGAACGCGCGTAGTACTTTAGATTTTTCGTGGATATAAACAAATGGCTTCTATTGTTAATAGGAAAGAACATTACTTGTTGCGTTTGTTAACTTTAAAAATACAGGTTTTCAAGAGTCCACATCTTTTCTTCCTATCCCATTCTGAATTTTTTTTTATTGCTCCTCAAATAGTTTTTATTTGAGTTGAGCAATAATAACAATGGTGATATGTAATTCATAATAATAATGCAAAACTAATACTGTAGTTAAAAAAAAACATTATTAGTTTTGTTCAGCCCAGAACAGGAGAGCCAAGACCTAAAGGGATGGCATTAGATTTTATCCCATATTGGCTTTTTAAGATTGTGATATTCATTATTAAAGCATCAGTATTGCAGCCAGTCTCACTTTAGGTTCCTGGTAAATGGAAAAAAAAGGTCAAGCCAACCATAATTCACGGTTTGCTTATTATGTTCATATCCCAACCCTGATATCATATTTTTCATGTTGGCCAGCAGTTTTATTGAATGTAGTCCTGTAAAACTTGGCTATCATACAGAATTGTTAATGTCCGCAAAGATGTAGATATAAAATTATTGGAAGAAATTGTAGATAGAGTAATAATATGCTGCATGTGTGCACAGTTAATTTTGTCCTGATTTCCTGACAGATGTATAACGCTGCTCAATTAGGTGAAAATCATATATCATGCCTAATTGGAACTGAAGTTAACTAGTTAATTAAGTATAGTACAGTACTGTACAGTACAGTATATGAAAGTGTAATAGTGTACTCTTCTAAATCACTCCTAATTCACAAAACTCTTTAAGAATCAAACAATGGTTATACAATTCAATGGAATAGAAATAAATGTTTAGTATACCAAATATGGAAGCAAGATTCCCACTGATGAATCACTGATTAGCTAAATGAATGGCTGAAGCATGTAAGCAATGTAATACCTATAGTCATTTCACTTTGTTTTATTCAATGGAAGTTAAAAAAAAGTTTATACTAATGTTTTAAATTCTTTCATTTTTAGGCATAATTTACCTTATATTTTCTTTAGACATTAGTCCACCAGTTCTCATTCATTTTGATTGGGAGTAGAATAGAGTTCAGAGGTATATAGGTAGACTAAATCTATTTAAAATGTCTCTTCTGAAGCTGATGATGGCCAGGCAAAGTGCATGGTCATCAGTGAGTTATCACATAGGCCAAGGTATGTTTAAAAAAAAAAAATCTTGAAATCTTAACTCGCATTTTAATTTCATCTAATTTCAATCTTTTGATATGAAACTTTAATATTGGTATTGTCCTTTCTCCACATCACATTGTGCTTTGAACCTTGATTCTTTTGAGCATTACAGTGCCAATCTTTTTCCTCTGCTTTTAACTGATGAAAAGGCTAAAACTACTGCATGAACATCAACATGGACTTTAGAGGCAGTAAATGGTATTATTCAGCCACTATATATTGAAAATTTTTGTATATCTTATCACATTACAATACCTTAATTAATATCATACAGCACCAAGACATATAAATTAAAAATATTATGGAATCATTAAAAATTGAGTGTTAATTTTCCATTAGCATAAGCTCTAAAATGCAGTTCACAGCAATTAGTTTAAATTTTTTAAAGAATGGGAGGCACGCTCTTGTACACTAGTAATATACTGTACGGGTACTTGTAATGCCTGCCTGCCCAAACATGATTTTTTTCTAACATTTTTGTTAACAGAATTAAGAACCTTAATTTCATATACTGTATATTTAAAACAAGAACGGTGTACTAACAAAGAGTCATCTCATTGTTCCCACTTACAACTCCATAGAATGAATAATCCTGGATATTTACATATTTTACATCTGTTTGGATACTATGTCACTTGGATATAATGATTATAAGCCAAGGGTAGATTATCAAACTTTAAAATAAATGTTTTTGCAGGTTGTTCTAAAGTATTTTTAGCAATTAATTATTAATACAACTTTTTATCTGTTGAGTAGTTGTTTTTTAACAATTAATTATTACTAACTTTGTTCTTCATCAGGTAAGATGACTTTTAATGTTTTTCAAGAGATCTTGTTCCCTTTCCTTTTTTCTTTAAAATGGAAATTTGAGTAAATTTTGTTATCAAGTTTGTCACTGCACTCATTCAATATAAAATTTTACAAATAATTAATAAACGTTAGTATTTTCATGGTACCTTGTGTGGTTCATTCATTACATGAAATTTTATCCTGCACAAATGAAGTGCCAGAGCACAGAGGTAACAATGGATTCACAATGCATGCAACACATGATTATGCTTGTGGCCAAGAATCCTTGGCAGGTTATTGTTTTCCATATTGTACAAAGAAGCGATCAGTCAGTTACAGTACATCACTTCCCTCAACTAAAAATTATTTCTCTGTTCACATTTTGCCTAACTTAATCTAACTCACTGCTTAAAGAGTTGGAATTAGTGTACAGTATGTTTTTTATTTACCTAAATAAATTACATTTTTTAGTTTCTTTAGGTAATTGAAGTTGCAGTCAAGAAAATGATTACAGGCATGCTTGGGACCTGGGGATTACCAGCTAAGGGATTTTTCCATAATTTGGAGTGCCAGGTTTAAAATGCACTAAATATACAGTATATCCTCTAAGTAGTGTATGGTGATACTGCGAACCATGTTCCTTTTGTGACGTCATGACAGCTGGCTGCAAAGTCTCTGTTCAGATCACTAGATTCGCCCCTAAAAGTAGCTTTAACTGTACACTAACATTAATACTTAAAACTATAGGCATATAAATAGCAATAACAAAATCATATAAATAGTAATAATGAAAACATAAAAAAGAACAAAAATCATATTATTTAGTATACACACTGCCTTGCAGTCTCAGGTATGCTGGCTGCCTTAATGTTCACCATAGCAACACAGCCCAGCTAGGACACTGCCTATCCCTACAATGGTGCTCCGTGCTGTATTTTCTATCCATTACAATGGTACTCAGTGCTACATGTTATATCCCTAGCAATGGTGCTCTGCTCTGAGCTGCATATTCTCTAATCTCTTCTCACTCTTGTCACATGGCTTCACGGTGAAAACCCGTAAATATAGTGTACTTAAAACGACTGGGTATATGTCTGAAGATAATTAATTCTTTTATTTATTTATTTTTTAATTTTTGTATGTAGGAGTGTGAGTGCATGTAAATGAGTAAAAAAAAATTCGAATTACGTACAGGTATATCTACCCAAAATTATGGGTTGAAAAATAATTATAACATAACATATAACTCATAGGTGGGAAACTGTTGGAAATTTACCCACTTGGCCTGGGAATTGCTTGATGGTCATTTTAAATTAATTCTAGAACATCGCCGGTTTTCGGAACATTTTGAATTCCGGAAAGCCAGATACACGGTCCCATACCATTTGGTGTTTTTTTTTTTTTATAATATAACAGTGTCCATCATCAGTTTATCTGGTATTTTCCATTAAAGGTAGCCAATTCCTCTGCCACAGCAAAGTCTAAGGACTACAATACTTGACATTAATGATGAAAAAAATGTTGATTAGCTATCTTGTCTGGGATTTTGTTAAAATTTCTCTCTTTGCTCGTGCTATCCTGTACACAAACTGAGACACACACACCTTCCATATTTCTAAATCCCATTGCAAGAATAGAAGATGACTAATGGTGTATGTTGAGGAAAGAGAAATGTTGTATCTGTTTACTTTCTCTCTCTGTTGTGTGTACCGGTATGTGTGAGTGCATGTGCATGTGCGCAGTGGCGGATCCAGGCAGAACCCCCCTTTTCTCATGAGCCAAAAAGTTGGCTGTCAATTTGGTGCCATACCAAATTGACAGCCAACTTTTTACTCTTCATCATTGATTGGTATGTTAGTCACTCAGGCGGTCAGTCATTTTACTTTATCCTCTTTCCCATTAATCAGCCTGTTAGCTGCTTGGGTAATTGGTCATGTCTCTATTATGCACTGTTTACATGTACTGGACATTCATTGGCTCCAGAATGTATCTAAACATGCACCAGTATTGGTCAAGTCTAGTCTTGAATGAGCTTACACTTGGTGCCATCACAACACTCTCTGGCATTTTGTTTCAAGAGTTCAAAACTCTCACTCCAAAGAGTTTGCCCTGACAATTTGCTGAACATGTGGCTTCTTCAACCCAGCAGATTGGTTTTGGATCTTTCTTATTGCTTACAATTGTTGGGGTTGCTACAAAATTAATAATGGTCACTGAAAAATTGTGCAAGGACTGTCATACTATTTCCTAAATCAAGTCAGATCAAGGTGTTCTTTGGACTGGTGGCCGGATTACCTGGATCTATCACTCTTTTGCGATCACAGGTGTTGCCTCTGCCACACACCTTGTGGTCACTCTACGAACACATATGGCATCTCTCTTTAATTATTGAGTCACTCAGAACAGGTGCAGCATGTTTGCCACAGAGCCTTAAACTAGACATACACGACCGAGGTGTAAGGTTAATCCTTTCCTCCCTGAGGTGAGGTGATGGTGGGTTAATTTGCCTATGTTACTCTAGGGGCCCAGATCCACTTGCACAGTGGGTCAATAACCATTATAGATTTTCTAGCAACTCCATCAATTGTAAGTAATGTACTGTACAATAATAAGAAAGATCCAAACCCCTGTTTTTAAGGGTAATATGTCTCATATTTAAATTGGTTACTCTATTAATTAGAGAAACAATAACTTTTACTCTGAAATGGTGATGTTTGTCAAAAGTAACCAAGATACTTAAATCTTAGTTTTTGTCTGAGTGGCCAAAATCGGTGCCATCTCTTATAGAATTCTAAGTCTGCTCCTGTGTGTGTGTGTGTGTGTAACATTATTTTTAAAAATTTTTCATATAATGTAGACCTTGCTATTGATATTTTCATTTTGGACATTTCAAAGCCTTCCTCAATACGGTACATGATAATGTCATTTTAAATACTGTATACAGTACCACAACACTTTTAAGTTGATGCCTCAGCTTTATCTGCTGATCACCCATAGAGGAATTATACAGTATATAGATTTTTACATGCTATATTAGATAATTAACATTCTGAGGTAATTAAGGAAATCATAATTCACGATGACCTTATT